ATTTTAAAAGAAGGAGACAGAAGGTTTGGACGACATGCTACCAACACCACATAACGCCACTGGCTTTGGCTATAAGAAAAAGACAGGAGATAGAAGGTTGTGGACAGACATGACTACCAACGCCACATGGCTTTGGCTATAAGAAGGAGACAGGAGACAGAAGGTTGTGGATAGTCATGACTACCAAGACCACATGGCTTGGCTATAAGAAGAAGACAGGAGACAGAAGGTTGTGGACAGACATGACTACCAACGCCACATGGCTTGGCTATAAGAAGAAGACAGGAGACAGAAGGTTGTGGACATGACATGACTACCAACGCCACATGGCGGTGAAATAGAAGACAAATGACATTTTTTTTTAGACATGCCTAATTATTTTAAAATGGATTGCTACATTGTCAAGTTGCATACATAACTTACCAAGTTAAAAAAAATTGGTGGAACATATGTTAGAAAAATACGCCAATGACTTAGTGCCTGTTCAATCCTTCTTCATCAGTTTGCTTTTGGTGGAGCTAGCCGCAACTTTTTTCGATTCTCCTTTTTGACGGTCAGTGAATGTTTGGCCCATAGGGTCTTGACCACGACATCTCGGGCTTCAGTGTGAGACAACAGGCTGGCGTTTTTAACATCGTCCACGTCATCCCGCTCTTTCCTGCAGCAGTAAGAAATATCGTCTGCTAAAGTGTTTGTCAGCTGTAATCTTCTTCTTCTTCTTCTTCTTCTTTTTCTTCTTCTTCTTCTTCTTCTTCTTCTTCTTCTTCTTCTTCTTCTTCTTCTTCTTCTTCTTCTTTTTCTTTTTCTTCTTCTGACGTCTTCTTCTTCTTCTTCTTTTTTCTTCTTTCTTCTTCTTCTTCTTCTTTTCTTCTTCTTCTTCTTCTCTTCTTCTTCTCTTTTTTTCTTCTTCTTCTTTCTTCTTCTTCTTCTTCTTCTTCTTCTTTCTTCTTCTTCTTCTTCTTCTTCTTCTTCTTCTTCTTCTTCTTCTTCTTCTTCTTCTTCTTCTTCTTCTTCTTCTTCTTTGTTCACCGGCTGCATCTCTGGCGGGAAGTCCTGGTTGTTCGTCCATTCAGGGCCTGAGTTTTACGTGTACATCCGTTTTACTGACTTATTTGTGGGCAGATGGTTATTCCTTGCTGCTCGGGCAGATGTACTCCGAATTTAAAAAAAAGTCCCCAGTTAGTCGACTCAAACGACATGCTTAATGGGAAGGCAGTGGGTCGATTCGTGTTTGGAATCCACACGGAAAACGGTATTATGGCCTGTCTATATTGCGGCCCCTGGCAAGAGCCAGGGTGGGGCTTCAAATAACGAAAACTTTCATCCGAAAAAAGGACGGTAGATGTGTGAACATTGGTCTCCCCACCGACCGCCCATATTTACACTAGCTCACTTTTGATTGGTCGACCGCGAGCTACGAGACCTTAGGTAACTTTCACGGGGATGTTCCGCAATGCCGTTGACATCGCATGTTGTATATTTCACTATGCCAGAGGTTTTACCACTCCAAAAACATCGACAACTGAGTCTAACACACAACCTCTTTAGAGAGTAATGAAACCTTTGTCACAGGCAGTCTCTTTCTCGTTATAAAAACGTAAATGCAACACAACAGACCGCCATAACCTCAGACACGGTAGACTAGTCCAAAAAGACTTATCAATGGAATTCACCTACATTCCGTGGGGAGACCAACGTTCAATAACCCTTAAAAATACCCCTTTCCTCTCTCCACACACACACACACACGCACGCACGCACGCGCACACACACACACACACATTCAACTCACACAAGATTCACGGGTATCAGTTTCGGTGGCGCATGAGGCCCAATGTGGAACGATGGGATTCGTGTGATCATTTTTTCATCTTCAGTTGTCTTCGTCTTGGATCTGATTATAGCCCTTGTCTGAAATCGCAAACGATTATAAGAAAAAGTTAAAGAAAAAAATCACCCTAGCCCGAAATCACAAGAAGTTAACGATTGTGCGAGTATAAGAAAAAAAATCATCTAGATAACATGTGAGAGAAGAACAAGAGAAGACAACATTCAAGACAATGGATAGAAAAAAGCGAAAGAACTACGTACTGTAGAATGGAGAGGCGAGTGAGTGCGTGAAATTGAACTCCACTAGGACCAATTAACACCAGGTGAAGCAAACTTCAGGGTGTCATCACTGGAACAAGAATCCCGAACAAGAAACACTAGCTCAAATCTGATTGGTAGTTCCTGAGTCCCGTGACCTTCGCACACGGTTAGGGGGTGTTCCGAAATGCGTGTTGTATATTTCAGCACGCCAGCCCCTATAAACTACTAAAAAAAAAAAAAAAATATGGAGAAACTGACGTTTACACACCACGGTTAGGGGTGTTCCCAATGCTAGTTGAGATGCTTTTTCAGGAACGTCAGCGCTTTAAAAAAACACTAAAAAAAAATTAGGGGGGCAACTACTTTAAACACAATTTCCCCTAGAGATGGGAACCTAGGTGGGGGGGGGGGTGGGTTTTTTAGGGGGGGGGGGGGGGGGGGGGGTTGAAAACGTAAATGCAAGACATCGCAGAAACCAAATAGCAGAGCGAAACACACCCGCAACCTTCGGAAAAGTCGACCAGCCCAACACAATTGAGAATGAAAAGCGACCTACTCTATTTGGGTAGACTAAAGTCGAACTAACCGTAGAGATGAAAGTGAGAGAAGACAATTATAATGTGTCGAATGGCAACAAAAATATACAACTACTCTTGAAATATTTTAAATGTATAAACAAATGCAGGCAATCACGATTCCGGGCTAGAACCTGGTATCAGTGAGGAAACAAAAAAGAAGAGAAGGAAAAGAAGAAGAAGAAGAAGAAGAAGAAGAAGAAGAAGAAGAAGAAGAAGAAGAAGAAGAAGAAGAAGAAGAAGAAGAAGAAGAGTAGCAGGCGGAGGAGAAGAAGAAGAAGAAGAAGAAGAAGAAGAAGACGGACAGTAGGGGGAAGAAGAAGAAGAAGAAGAAGAAGCGGAGGAGAAGCAGAATAAGAAGAGAGGAGGAGGAGAAGAAGGGGAAGCTGAGGAGAAGGAAAAAAAGAGGAAGAAAAAGAGAAGAAGAAGAAAAAGAAGATAAATGAATGCTTAACAAGATAACGTTATACCTGGTTAGGGAGGCCCTTCCAAATGTTCTAGGGGTGGGAACCCAGCCCTTGTAAGAAGTATTTGGGAGGAGGGAAGAGCAGTAGGGCCCCCTAAAATGGGGAGAAGAAGTGTGGGCGTCTCAGTGTGCTCACGCCCCAGGTTTCGGCGTCTATATATGACACATACTAAGGATTCTATGGGTTGATGACGACTGATTGTAAGATCACGGCGCACAATTTATAATAAACCATAATTATGCTGAGATAGCACAACCAATAGCTCAGCCATACAGACGTCGAGTTAACACAAACCGATAAATCAACCACACACAAACGCACACACATAAACACATACACGTCGAGATAACACAAACAGATAGTTCAACCACACACACACGTCGAGATAACACAAAACTAAATAATCAACCACACACACAAATACCGCAAACAGTTGACACACCCACTACTACACAACATAGATAACTCAACCACACATACACACACACATACAATATAATCAACCAACCACAACACGTCCAGATAACACAAACAGATAACTCAACCACACACACACACACACACACGTCGAAATAACACAAATCAAATAATCAACCACACACACATCGAGATAACAAACCGATAAATCAACCACACCACATGTCGACACACACTCACACAGTCCGATAACATAAACCTTAACTCAATAAAACGTCGAGACACCGATAGCTTCAAGCATACACACACACAAAACAATAACTCAAGCCATCACGCGTCGAGATAATTAGATAAATCAGGCATACACACGTCGAGATAACACACACACACACGCACACATGTCAAGATAACACAAACAGATAACTCAAGTATACACAGTCCGGATAACACAAACCCTTTAACTCAATCACACATACGTCGAGATAACACAAACCGATAACTCAAGCATACACACGTCGAGATAACACAAAACAATTACTCAGATAACAGACCAGCACATACGTCGAGATAACACAAACAAACCAAGCATACAACTCAGATAACACAAACTAATAACATACACATACATTGCGTCGAGATAACACAAACCAATAACTCAGGCATACACACGTCGAGATAACACAAACCGATAACTCAAGCATACACACGTCGAGATAACAGAAACCAGCAACTCAAGCATACATGCGTCGAGATAACAGAAACCAATAACTCAGTCATACACAAGTCGAGAAAAGACAGCCAGTAACCCAAGCCATACAACGCGTCGATGCAATACAACCAGTAACTCAACCATACACACGTCGGGACAGCATAAACCGACAACTTCAACACACACACAAGTCGAGGCAGCACGTACCGACAACTCCACCATGCAGAAGTCTCGCATCTCTTCGCTGAGTTCCTTCTCTATTGTGGTCATCACTGCAAGCAGGTTGGCCTCCTTGATCTGACCATCCTTGCCCAAGGCCGACTTGTCCAGCTTCATGATGCTGGCGACAGACATGACAGCGGGCCAAATAATCACTGTCCCAGATGTCATCAAAACTGTCTATAAACTGAATAAATTGTCAAGACACTGTTCTGTCAACAAACTCAGTAAAATGTCAATTAACTAAATAAACTGTCAATCATCTCAGTCAACTATCAATAAAACTGTCAGTTAACTCAGTAAAGTGTAACTTAACTCGATACACTGTCATTTCACTCTACAGACTATCACTTTTCCCGGAAACTGTCACTGAGCTCAATAAACAATCACTTAATTCAGCAAACCTTGCATTGACATTTAAATACAATCACTAAACTATCATATAATTCGATAATGTATCACCTTTTAAACTGTCACGGAGTAAGTCAAGTACCACTTTCCCTCCTTCAGGTGAAATCAACGTATGATGCTACTCACAGCTAGACCTATCGTTTACAGACCAATCGGTACGCGAAGGGGGACGTGGTCAGAATCACGCCGGCCTCCTTTACCTTCCGGGACTTCCCCTGGTTCCCACGTAAGACTGGATCAAGCTGGGAGTCAGGGTCAATTTCCAAAGGAAAAGAATCCAGCTCAGTTCGGATTCGAACCCGCGAACTTCTGATTCACAGACTAGAGTCTAACCACTACAGCAAGGCGGCTAAAACTTACCTCAATAAACTCTCAACCATTGTCTAAGTGCTTAATAATAATAATAATAATAATTAATGTGCTGAATGGCAAATAAATATAAACATTTTTTTGGGGGGAAATAATACGAATAAAATAACACGAAAAGAGAATTGCTATACAAGGTTATGATACGCAGGGACAAAGCAGCAGCAGTCTTTAACAGCCTTAACAAAATATGCAGCTCAAAGTTATACAGCTTAAAGACCAAACTACGAATCTTCAGTTCCAACAAATGCCACCAAAAATATTGAACGGAAGCTAAATACATTTGAAAATAAATGTCTGAGATAAAGAATGAACGTAAAAAAGGATACATTAAAAATTAAAAAACGGTGAGGCGATCAGAGAAATGTCTAGACAAATACCTGTATTGACTGCAAAAAACGGTGAGGCGATCAGAGAAATGTCTAGACAAATACCTGTATCGACTGCACACACACAAAAAAAAAAAAGAAGGTGGGCATATATTGGGAACACTCTGAGACGAAATGAGCAGGGAATTGTAAAACAAGCACTGAAATGAGAAACAAACGGTCTGAGAAAAAGATGACGTCTAAGAAAAACATTAAGAATAACATTATTGGAGAAGCAAAAACACCGGACTGAACTCCAGGTCAGAAATGTGTGTGTATGCTTGTGTGTGTATGAGAGAGAGAGAGAGAGAGAGAGAGAGAGAGAGAGAGAGAGAGAGAGAGAGAGAGACGGAGAGATATGGCGACAGAGAGAGACAGAGAGAGATAGGGGGGGGAGAGTGAAAGAGATAGGGAGATAGATAAGGGGTGAGGAGAGTAACGTGTAACAGAGTAGAGTGGGGTAATCGAATGCGACCCCTATGTGACCTCTAACGACACACAAAGGATGTTGATAATAATGATAATAATGATGATAATGATGATACATACCTAGGGGAAGAGATAAAGTGGGTTTCTCGACAAATTGTGGATAGGGGCATTTGGGGCAAACTATTTATGAGGTAGGGCGTCTCAAAGTACCTGAGCCTTCGGGTTCCATTGCCCCCGAGTCCCACACACAAACACCCACACACAGACAACCACACACAGACAGCACACACATAAACACCCACACACAGAAAGAACAAACATACATTCATATACACGCACACAAGTGAATGCGGGCTCACACACATAAACACACCACAGACAGCACACACAAACATTTACACACACACACCACAGACAACACACACACACACACACCACAGACAACACACACACACACACACACACACACACCACAGACAACACACACACACACCACAGACAACAACAACACACACACACACACCACAGACAGCACACACAAAAACACACGTACCCAAAGATATTCTGTATATGGCCGGTAAACTCCTCAATCATTTTGCTCTGCTCGGCCAAACGCTGGTTGCAAGCCTCGCTCCTGGCCCTGTACGAATCCACACTCACCTAGTATTCACAGGACCAAATGAATGAATGAATGAATGAATGAATAAATGAATGAATGAATGAATGAATAAATGAATCAGTCAATAATTGACATCACTGCACTCGGGACATTCCCATACGTGCTCCGTCCCCTTCTTCAGCAATCATCGAAGCTAACAGTACAAGTTGCAACCTGTTTAAAAAATATAGCTTTGAACTATGTAGTATGAAACCCGGCCTCCCACACGCTTTAATTACCTCTTTTCAGAATCCAGTAAATGAATGCTTGTAGTAATGTAGTTATTGTTTTGGGCTGTAGTGTATGTGTCAGCTCCACACAGAGTACTGACAGCAAATAGGGACTGGGTTTACGCCCATTTACACACCGCTACACACTAGCTCGATTCTGATGAGGTGACCTACTGACCACCTCACTACTGATAGGTCGGCCTCGTGCGATCCGACTTTCATACAAGGTCACGGGGATATTCCGCACTCGCGATCATACCGCGTGCTGTTTATTTCACCATACCAGGGCTATTAACATTTCTAAAACATTTAGATGCTGGGTCTAACACACAACCACCCATAAGTAAAGTTCCCTTTTCACGCCTTTCGGCGCATCGGGCATATGGGCAGAGCGTCCCATATTTTTACAGACCATCAGCACTCTGTGGGTAATGTGGTCAGCATTACGCCGGCTGTCTTTACTTTCCCAGGACAGCCCATCCTGGTATCCATTTTAGGCTGAACCACCCATAGGGAGTGACAAAACCTATGTCAAAGGCCGTCTCTTTCTAGGAAGTAAAAATGTAAATACCAAACAACAGACTGCGACACCCATAACCTCAACCACGGTAGACTAGTCCAACCAACTTATCAATGGAGTTGACCTACAACCGACGGTGTTCAAATGGGGAGACCATCGCACAAATAACCAAGGACCCTACCCCCACCCCACCCCTCTCTCTCCGTCTTCTCTCTCGCTCTCTTTCACCTATCCACACACACACACACACACACACACACACACACACACACAATAACGACATCAGAGGTTAAAAAGAAGAATAGACGTCAAGCAGATACGATAGCCAGAACGGAAATGACCTCACTGACTGACCCGAATGTTGCGAATGTCAGCTTCCGTGTCCTGGAAGATGCCAATGTCCCTTTCCTCCATGGCAACATTTTCCCGCCTCAAGTTCCGGATCTGCGACCGGATGTTCTCATTCTCATCCAGAATCTCCCCTGGAGACAACAGAAAAGGGGAATTCCCAACTGCTACCAGTTACGCGTTGGCAATATTTCATAATCACAACAATTAGTGTCCCGGGAGATGGCGTCCTTTGGGTATTTTCTCGAGGGATTCAGGTGTGTTGGGAAACGAACAGATTGATAAATTGACACCTTGAAGCACAGGCACAAGGGGAATTCCCAAACGTTGCCAATCGAGTGTAGGCAATATTGCAAAAAGTAAAAAAAAAAAAAGGAAAGGTCTCCTTTCGACGCCTTTAGGCGTTTTGGGAAAATAGGGCTAGAAGTACATATTTTTAGACCAATCGGCACTTGGAGGGTGATGTGGTTAGCATCAAATCCGGCTGCCTTTACTTCCCATGAATGCACCTGGTACCCACTCCTGGCGACCCCGAAGCAATATTGCATATCTACAACGAATAATGTACTGGGTAGTAAACATTCTTTGTTTATCTTCTCTGGAGTATGCGGGTGTACTGGAGAACGAACAACAGAACAGACTGGCTGTTTCTGCACAGCTTGCTAGTAAATTGATGGATGACAAGCTAGATGTCACAAGGGTCCTTAGAGAGCAAGTGATCAAAGTGAAAGAACAAACAGATCATTACGGTTTGAAGAGAGTTGTGACCATAGAGTTACGAGGGGGGTCTGGTCGACTCAGAAGCGAGTTAAAGTAAACATTTTGAGATCTTGCATCTTTCTTTGGGCAACTTATGGATTGAGGTCTGAGGTTTTGAACAACGGATCCGCATCATGGCACATGGATAGTTAGCCATAATTGCTCCGTTCTTCTTCTAACTCAAGTCTGAGTCCGAAGAAGCTCAGCACACTTTAAAAACATACCTTAGCCGTCCTTTTTAGGACGTAATTTTTCGTTCTTTGAAGCCCTACTCTGGCTCATGCCAGGGGCCGCAATATAGTCCGGCCATAATTATGGCCTAATTGCTGAACGCGGTTTCTGGGACCTCTCCACGGTGATCCTCATCCACATGGTGGCACCTTGTGTCATCGGGCGTGTATTGCTTGTGTGATGTCCTGGTGGGGTAGAAAGTCAGTTAGTCAGTCAGCTCAGCACAGTGCACAGGCTCTGTAGCACCGGCGAGGATCCTGAAATACTATAGGTAGATTTTTTAAACTCTAAATTTTGCCTGGGCAACGCCGTTAGGCTAGTTTTTTCCGATTTTCAACTGCCAAAGGATATTTTACGTGCCCAATAATGCCTCACGGGCGTCCGATCTCACTACCCAGAGACCAGGGGGAATTAATGAAAGTCCTAGTCCACGTAAAAAAAATCCCAGCCCTTACCGGGTATTAAACCCGGAATCTCTAGCACTCGCGGCGGACACTATGCCTAGTAATACAATCGAAGATAGTATAATGATAAAAAGGACAATTTTATGTTGATGAAAGGCAGTAGGGGGGCTTACTGTTCTCATTGCCAAAGAGAAATTCATTATCTTACTATTTATTATTATTTATTATTATTATTATTATTATTCACTATATAAATAAGCCACTCTGCGCCTCAATCATAGTGAGAAGAACGCTTGTTGCAGTTTACGCCACTCATGCAGAAACTGTAACGTGTAAGTTACTAATACTACAATGCTAGCTGCAGACGTATATTCTTAACAGCGAAGCGATGAGGAGGAAAATATGACATGGTATACTCTTCAGTGTAATGCTTACTTGCTAAGGCTTACACATGCGAACTGATCACACCTCGACACTCAATACTCGCTTCATCTCCTGTCTAGAGAGGACTAATGTGTTATACTCAGACTAAGGACAAGGCACAACAGAACTTGGCCGACATATTTTAAAATGTGCCGGTGTAAAAAACAAGGAGACGTGTCCCAGTTGCTTAGCCCAAGAAAATGCTGAGCATGAGCTCCAACACTGTCTGCTGAATGCTGCCGAGATCTGGTCTGTTTCAACCACAATAAAGACAAAGCTGAATGGTACATGAGCAGATACGGACTGCACGATATCTTTCCCATAGGCTACCTGCCTCCGGATATAAGTTTTCTGATAAAAGGATCGAAGAAAATGAAGAAGAAGCCATTGATAAAGCGCAGCCAGTCAAGCATAACTTACCAATGTTGAGGAAAGTGATAAAGTGAACAGTTCTTTACTTATAAATGGCAACCAGTGGAGCATAACTTACCAATGTTGGAAAGTGATAAAGTGAACAGTTCTATGCTTATAAATGGCAACAGTTTGAAAAAAGTGATAAAGCTTATATGCTTATAAATGGCAACCAGGGGAGTATAACTTACCAATGTTGAGAAAAGTGCTAAAGTGATCAGCTCTATGAACTGATTTGCAAATACTGAGACAACCAATTGTTGATATATATAAATTATATTTCTATATATATAATTATTACCAATAGAAAGTGCTATATATGAAACTATTAAATACTGATATATATGATATATATTTTTATATATATATAAAACAGTTCTATGCTTATAAATGGCAACCAGAGGAGCATCACTTACCAATATTGAGGCGATAAAGTGAACAGTTCTGTGCTCATACATCGCAACCAATGGAGCAGCACTTACCAATGTTGAGGAAGGTGATGAAGTTGTCCTCCTCTGCTTCGATAAAGTCCTGGACAATTTGGTTGAGGTCCTCCTTGCCCGTGGATGCCCGGATGGCGTCGAAGGCTTCGGCGTAGTTGTCCTTCTTGTTGAACAGTTCGGTGGCTGTGGTGGAACATCAGCAACAATTTCAGCATCATTAGACGCGTGGGAACGACATAGGTCGGACGCCTGCCACCTCAAACATCCGAGGCCTGTCATCTCTCTCACCCGACACTGCTATCTCACGCTTGACATATGCCATCTGACCCCTGCCATCTCTCACACTTGACATCAGATATCTCTCACGCCTGTCATCTGAATCATGAGCTCTCTGAGGCCTGACATCTGAATAAGGCCTCTTTCTCAGGCCTGACATCTGAATCACGCCCTCTCTGAGGCCTGACATCTGAATCACGCCCTCTCTGAGGCCTGACATCTGAATAAGGCCTCTTTCTCAGACCTGACATCTGAATCACGCCCTCTCTCACGCCTGACATCTGACCCCTGCCATCTCCCCCGCCTGACATCTGTCCTCTGCCATCTTTCACACCTGACATCTGACCCCTGCCATCTCCCCCGCCTGACATCTGTCCTCTGCCATCTCCCCCGCCTGACATCTGTCCTCTGCCATCTCTCACACCTGACATCTGTCCTCTGCCATCTCTCACACCTGACACTCTGATCCCACTGCCTCTCTCCCCACGCCTGACATCTTCACCTGTCATCTCTCACACCTGACCCTGCATCTGTCCTCTGCCATCTCCCCCGCCTGACATCTGTCATCTGCCATCTCCCCCGCCTGACATCTGTCATCTGCCATCTCTCACACCTGACATCTGTCCTCTGCTATCTTTCACACCTGACATCTGTTCTCTGCTATCTTTCGCACCTGACATCTGTTCTCTGCCATCTCTCACACCTGACATCTGACCTCTGCCATCTCTCACACCTGACATCTGTCCTCTGCCATCTCTCACACCTGACATCTGTCCTCTGCCATCTCCCCCGCCTGACATCTGTCCTCTGCCATCTCTCACACCTGACATCTGTCCTCTGCCATCTCCCATGCCTGACAACTGTCACGTCTGACACTGTCATCTCTCACGCCTGACACTGTCATCTCTCACGTCTGACACTGTCATCTCTCACCCCGACCTGACATCTGTCCTCTGCCATCTCCCCCGCCTGACATCTGTCCTCTGCCATCTCTCACACCTGACCGCTGCCAGATGATCTCCTGCCATCTCTCCCGCCTGACATCTGACCCCTACCATTACTCACACCTGCCGTCTCACACATCTGACACCTACAACCTTTCCACACTTGACGCCCGACACCAGCCACATTGACACCCCCCCCCCCCCCCCCCCCCCCCCCCCCCCAACAGTGACACCTGACACCACAACCCCGTCACGTCTCACCGTCGGCCAGGTCCTTGTCCCGCTTCTGCTGCAGGTACTGGATGATGTCCTTGTGCTTGGTGCGCATGAACTGCTCCATCTTCTTGTCGTCGTTAATGGCCAGGCTGATGTTGAGCAATTCCCGCTCGTACTGGTCCTTGACCTTGGCCAGGTGCTCCTTCACCTTGAGTTTGGTGCCTTCTGCCCGGTCTCTGCATCAAGTATGGATACATCAGTAGGTTATCTCGAGTGGGTTCGTACATGTGTGTCTTCCCGAGTGGGTCCCCCTTTTGATCCCGTGAGTGGGTTCTCCCTGTGGGTTCTAAGGAATTGGTTCCTTCATACCACCTCCCCCCCCCCCCCCCCCCATCCGTGAGTTCTCCTGCGTGGGTTTTTTCCGAGTAGGTTGCCAAGAGTTAATTCTCCTGAAGAGGATGCCCAATTGTGTTTTCCCCTTTAAGTTACAGGATGTGGGTTCTCCTTTGTGGGTTCTCGTGAGCAGGTTGCCCGGATTAACTTCTCCTAAAAGTGAATTCTCAAGTAGGTTTAACCTAAGTGGGTTTTCCCATTTGGGTTCCCATATGTGGGCCCTCGTGAGTAGATCACCAGAGTTATTTTTCCCTAAATGGGTGCCCAAGTGGGTTTACCTAAGTAGGTTTTTCTGATGGGTTCCCATATGTGGGTTCTTCCATGTGGGTTTTAGTGAGTAGGTTCCCCAGGGTTAATTTTCCCAAAGTGTGTGCCCAAGTGGGTTTGCCTGAGTGGGTTTTCCTGCCTGATGGGTTTCCCCTATATGAATTCTCCAGTGTGGGTTCTCGTGAGTGGGCTCAATTTTGTTGTTGTTTAATTGTAAGGCGGGGGGGGGGGGGGAATAACAACAGTGCTCCCTAGAAGACATTAAGACACTGCGACAAAGAATTATTCTTAGAATCCTGTAGTGTGTTCTGGGGCCCATTTCAGGAGGGCAGGGTACGAAAGAATGTAGACAACGAGCAGTATTTTGAAGTCAGCTTTCCAACATATTGTAAACAACGCTAATTAGAAGTTTGCTGAAATCGGGGGTGTTGGAACGAAAGACACACATATCGCATTCTAGCTGTAAACCACAGCACAACGTGTCCATCCGCCCTTTTAACGCCGGACGCAGACAAAGATACACCAGTCCTTAATTCCCATAGTACCGACATACACATCCTGGGTTAACTTGATACTCCTCACATCCAGGGCTTATCTCTTTCATGCCCTACGTAGCGTATCGCGGTACCTGCACCTTTTTTGTTCAGGCGTCATTTCTTTAAAACTCAGTAAATGGAGCTGCCATGGTGTAGCGGCTAGACTCTAGATCTCAAGGGTCACGGGTTCAGGATCGAACGGAGCCGGACCTTTTTTTTTTTCTTTCAAAAATGACCTTGGCTCCCAGGTCGACCCAGAGTTCAAGGCTTCCCAGGTGAAGTTCCGGGATGCTGACCGTATAACCCATAAAGTGCCGATTGGTCTATAAACTATAGGTTTGGCCCTGTGTGCCCATTATGCTTTGATGACTTGGAAAGTGGTTTCACTTTACTTTTTTGCTGCAAAAAACACTTTGAGATGTGTTAAGTTAGTTGTGTGTCCTTTACAGAATGTTACAGAAACGATCACAGAAGCAGCAATCACAGAAGCAGCAATCACAGAAGCAGCAATCCCAGAAGCAGCAATCCCAGAAGCAGCAATCACAGAAGCAGCAATCCCAGAAGCAGCAATCACAGAAGCAGCAATCCCAGAAGCAGCAATCACAGAAGCAGCAATCCCAGAAGCAGCAATCCCAGTCTGTGTACGGGCACCTGTCTTTCCAGAAATATGGGAAAGAAGCGACAGTTAGATAGTTTACTTAGTTAGTTGGGTCATCATCATTGCACTCCGGACATGACCATAGGTGCTCAGATACTCCCCTCAGTATGAATCCAGGCATCCGGTGGCTAACAGCACTAGTTCGATGTTGATTAACAGGTCCTCTGATGTGCCTGCGGTGCGTCTCGTTTATTGCTATACTGATCTCAACTCCCAAGTCTATCATTCTAGCGAGTGATGTAGATTCACTGCCCCCAAAGCCCTCCAACCTCCCCATTTCTCAGAGGGCAACTACAATATCAGCATGATCTATAGGCTGACCACCGGTAAAGATGGCGGATCCAGCCAACCTAGCAACCCTTTCATATCCATCAAATCCCGCCTATGCCGGAACGAAAATAAAGGGACTGCACGCGCAGTTGATTTCTCTAATGACTCAAGCCACTGCCTTCACACCGAACCTGCGGGAAAGAAGCGCCCCCTCCCCGCCCCCTAAGACTGAGGACAGGATCTTACCTCTGCTCATAGATATCACTAGTGCTGTGCATAAGCATGGTGACGCTCCGGTTAAGGCTGTCCAGCTTCTGTAGAAGCCTGGCCTCCTCCGTCATGAACTTGTCCCGCAGAAAGATGGCACTATCGATCTGGGTCTGGAGGGAGCGGTTCTTGTTCAGCTGTGTGTGGTACTTGCCTTCTGCCTGTAAGAGAAGCTCATGTCTCAGTTGTTCGGTTTGCTCCCATTGCAACGTTTGTTCATTGGTAACTAACTAATAGCTTGGGATTCCAGCAGGGGACTAAATCGTAAGGAGTGTAGGTTCCTTTCCAAATAAGCCTAGCCGCTTTACCTCCCAATCATGTATAGAAGTTCTATTTCTAGATCGTAGTTCATACAAATAATATTCTTCTTCTACGGTTTCTTCTGGGAGTCGCTGTGGGTACCAGGTGTAGTCCTGGGAAGTAAAGGCTGCCGGCGTGATGCTGACCACATTACCCATCTTGTGCCGATTAGTCTATAAAAATATAGGCATACTCCGATATGTCCTATATGCTTAAATGCGTGGAAAAAGGTCCTTTACTTTACTGCTTTTTTTTTTTGCTCCCTATTTCCCAAGCATAGGCTCCCAACTATCTCACCCCAAGTCGTCACATCGTTTGTCATCACATGCAGCTCAATCCAAGTGGTCACATCGTTTGTCATCACATACAGCTCACCCCAAGTGGTCACATCGTTTGTCATCACATACAGCTCAATCCATGTGGTCACATCGTTTGTCATCACATACAGCTCAGTCCATATCCTTCCCATCTTTCTAACGTCACCCTCTAGCTCCCTAGCGGGTTTTTGTTATTGTTATTATTATTATTATTATTATTATTATTATTATTATTATTATTATTATTATATTATTATTATTATTATTATTATTTTTATTATTATTATTATTATTATGATTATTATTATGATTATTATTATTATTATTATTATGATTATGATTATGATGATGATGATTATTATTATTATTATTATTATTATTATTATGATTATTATTTTTGGGGGTATATTCTAATTATATTGTTTGCCCCGCGCTATAAAGGTCATGGGGTTGTTTCACGTTTCACAAGAGCAATTTTTACACAGATCGGCGGAAATCGTCGCCGGAGCTACAGGTTGTCACGCAGGAAGGGATCCTGGGGATCTGTTTGTGTCGTAGGCAAAATAAAAATATTACCCTGCACAGTTTGTGGCGACTGCACTAGCCATGCGGACTGAAACCGTCAGGCACACACACACACACACACACACACACACACACACACCCCACAGTAATTTCGTAACCGTTTTGTAGCGTCTCAGTATAACCGTGTTGAACGGCTGTAAGGTTGAACAATATTTCCCAGATTTGTACCAATTGATTCTTTCGTAACGAGTCACCACAGATAACGTTACGAGGACAGTAAAATATTTTATAGGGTGGTAAGAACTGGTTTCCCGGCTGAATGTTGAAAGTTGAATTAGGAATCGACATCACAACACTGGGGACACTCCCATAAATGCCCAGTCCCCATCTTCAGCAGCAAGCGAAGTGTTCCAATTCCGAGGGTACCAGTAATCGTCTTATTGTATATCCGTCTCATCCTTCTGCTGAGTGTTGAGCGTTGGCCACATCCCCTGGCAACTACTCACAGCGACATTCTCTTCAGACCGTAACGATCTCTTTGCGCATCCGGACCTAGAACTGGCACTAACCCCAACCAACCTACGTCCCACGAGAAAGTGTAGCCTACGTCCCACGAGAAAGTGCAGCCTAGGTTCCACGACTGCATACAGCCTAAGTCCCACGAGAAAGTGCAGCCTAGGTCCCACGAGAAAGTGCAGCCTAAGGCCCACGAGAGAGTGCAGCCTAGGTCCCACGACTGCATGTAGCCTAGGTCCCACGACTGCATCCAGCCTAGGACCCACGACTGCATCCAGCCTAGGTCCCACGACTGCATGCAGCCTATCTACCAAACCCTAAAATATTGAACTGTTTTTTTAGGGTGAGTTATAACGAAAGCACCTATCTATTTAATTCTCATCATTGAGATGTTAATCTCCCAGACTGCATTCATGGGGAGAAAAGGGAGGGGTGGGGTGAGGAGGGATACATATTATAAAAAAACCTGGAGTTGACGACCCTGTCCTGCACCATAATAAACGTGATAGTCCCTGGACAGTAGTGGGAGTTGTGAGCACTACCTACCCATTCAATCCTCCTGGCCATCTTCACCGGGTCAGGAAACCGCAGTTTGTCGTTGATGATGTTCTTGATGGACAACTCCTTCTTGTGGTCCCATTTCTTCATGTCAAGGCCATCCACCTGTCCAGGAGAGCAACAGTTGACCAGGACATTTCATTACAGTCTGCACGCACACGCACACACACACACACACACACACACACACACACACACACACACACACAGGGCAAAATGTAATAATATCACACACAAAAGAATAAAAGTCAAAATAATCAAGAACAGTGGAACTGGCAGAGAGACATCGTGAAGGTGGGGGTGGGGGGTGGGGGGCGGGGACCTCAACCCCTTCACACATTTTAGGGGATTCCTTAAGTGGTTTAAGCCTTCTGTAAGCGAAATAATTACCATAACCTTCGGCGTTAATCCGAAGATGTAATTGCGTTGATTTGCGTGTGTATGTTAACTCTGTGTGTGTGTGTGTGAGCGCGCGCCCTTGTTTGATGCCCCCAGGTAGACTAGCTTGCCAACACCTACCTCCTTGTTGAGTTGCTAGTGTATGTCCCCCCCCCCCCCTTTTTTTTTCCCTTCAGGGTAGATTAGTTTACCTACACCTACATCCTTGTTGAGTTGCTAGTGTATGTCCCGCCCCCCCCCCCCCCTTTTTCAGGTAACTGGTTTACCCACACCTACCTTCTTGTTGATTTGTGGGTGCATTTGTTTCCCGCCCCCCACCCCTTTTTTTTTTAGTGTAGATTAGTTTACGCACACCTACCTCCTTGTTGAGTTTGCGGGTGAATTTGTCCCCCCCTCCCTCCCACCCCCCCCCCCTTTTTTCAGGGTAGATTAGTTTACGCACACCTACCTCCTTGTTGAGTTGCAAGTGTATGTTCTCCCCCCCCCCTTTTTTTCAGGTAGACGGGTTTACCCACACCTACCTCCTTGTTGAGTTGCGGGTGTATGTCCTCCTTCCCCCCCCCCCCCGGTAGACTGGTTTACCCCCACCTACCTCCTTGTTGAGTTGCGGGTGTATTTTTCACCCTCCGTTCAGTGCAGACTAGTTTACCCACACCTACCTCCTTGTTGAGCGCCTGTGTGGCCTCTGACTCGGCCTGCAGCAGCCGTTTCACCTCGTCCGTGGTCTTGACCAGCTTGCGGACGATGTCCTCGTCGGCTCGGTACTTCTTCTCCACGGCCTCGGACCTGGTGGCCAGGTAGTTGTCCAGCTCCCGGTCCCGCTCGGTCTCCAGGACATTCAGAGCACGCCTGGGGGGTCACGCCCATCAGTCAGTCAATCAACAAATTAACCAATCAATTGATGACTTGACCATAGTAAAAAACCAACCAGTGAGTCAGTCGATCTGTCAATCGATGGATGGATTGATCGATGAGAGTAACTAAAACAATCAGTTAGTCGGTCAACCAGTCGATCAGTCAATCAGTTATTCAGCTAATCAATCAATCAGTCAGTCAGTTAAGCAATCAGTCAATAAAACCGTTTTTCAATTAGCCAGCCGAACAATCAGTCAGTCAACCAGTCAGTCAACCATTCAGTCAACCAGTCAATCAACCAGTTAGTCAGCCAGTAAGTCAATAAATCAACAAATAAGTCAATCAATCACTTATTTAATAAATCAGCCAAGCAGTCTGTGAGTCAGTCGATCAATGAATCAAAATAAGTCAATCAATCAATCACTCCAACACTCAAGTATTGTTAGTCAATCGAACACCCAAATCAATCAATCATGTATCGTCTCTACAGTGATGGTTAGCGCTGCGATAGATTTCGAACACCCTTTGTCTTTCGCCATGGATGTACACACCCTGAAACTACTGTTTGTCTACCTCTTTATGTTAAGGGGTCACTACAGGAAATTTTTTAATTTATTTATTTACAGTGTTAGACCAATTATTTTATAATGGTCATTTGTAGGGATGTATATTGATACATTTGTAGACTTCAAGTAAAATTTAAAAAAAAAATGGTTGCCATGGCAACAGCCGCCATCTTAATGAAAAACAACATGTA